ATCTATCTATCTATCTATCTATCTATCATCTATCTATCTATCTATTAATGTAATGTAATGTAATGTAATGTAATCTATCTATCTTTAACTTTCTAGAACTCTTTCACCTGTTTGTTCAAGTTTTTTGGTGTCAATCAAGCTATGTAATAGCATGGTGGTTAATAGTATTTTGCATCTCCTTTTTAAAAWTTTTTTTTATTATTTTGTAGGAAGTTGTTGTCAAGCGACCGTAACCCTCCCATAGATGACCTGATTAAGTCTGGGATCCTTCCCATCCTGGTCCACTGCCTGGACAGAGATGACAAGTAAGCCGGCTGTAATTCTGTTTGTCTGCGCCGAGCAAATTCTCTCGTGTGTGTGATAATTATAGTAGAAATGAACCACATTCTGGGATCATTTTAAATGTAAACACATTTCAGCATTATGCAAATGAACCAGCAGGATTTATCCTTGCTCACATCTGAATAGTGTCGCTGTTATATAAATGTGTTGTKGTTTTTACCTCTTGCTGTTTAAACACTAATTATACTTGTTTCATCCTTTAGCCCATCTCTCCAGTTTGAGGCAGCCTGGGCTTTAACCAACATAGCGTCTGGTACCTCAGAGCAGACCCAAGCTGTGGTCCAGTCCAGTAAGTCTTTGTGTCACATCATCTTAGTTGGACTGTTACGCTTCCTGCTTTGTGCGTTTTTTTTTTTTTTTTTTTGGTTTTTTTTGTCTGGATAAATCTTGCTTTAATGTGAATTATGCAAATATAGAGACAGTTGAAACCAGCCAGAGGAGGGTTGTTATGGGGGTGCAGGTGAAATAAATTTCTCTCAGTGAGAGCAATAAAAACAGTTTGCACCAACTGAACTGAAAGCAAAACCAGCCCCTATGAATTTATCACTTCATAGGGGCTGGTTTTGCTTTGTGGAAGTGGTGCCGCCTGCTGATWAGCTGGAGAAAATTATCATTTGTGTGCAATAAACAGCAGCGTCTCTGCAGCAGTGAACACATCAAAGTACTTCCTTATTTTGTGCGTATTGGTCTCGTATTATAAATGTACAAAACTTGTCCATTTCTGTTTTTCTTTTCCTTCATCGACCTCTGTTGCTCCAAAAACTATTTAAATTCTGCTGTAATTGTAGCCAACTTACTTAATGGTAATTTTTTATTCCTCTCTGCTCCTTTCTTAAAAGTAAAGAACTATGGAAAAAAAGTTTCTGCTAGATCAGCAGTGTACACGAATAACACACACACACACACACACACACACACACACACACACACACACACACACACACACAGTTTCATGTCTGTTCCACTAAAGCTTCAGACTTCCTACGACAGTAATTAACTGAAAAAAGACAGAAAATACTGCAGAACGGTGCTGTTCTATAATTCAAAATGCTAAATTTAGATTTGAATGGTTGTATAAATTTCATCAGTTCTCCAGATGGGGAATAAAGAGGTGCTGACTTTTTTCAGATCTTATGTAAAGATCTCTGATTGTTCATGGTTTTGATTTGATGTCTAAATGTTTCTTGTGTGTAGACGCTGTGCCGCTGTTCTTGAGGCTGCTTCACTCTCCTCACCAGAATGTGTGTGAACAGGCTGTCTGGGCTCTGGGCAACATCATCGGTAAGTAGTCTCTGTTCTCTTCTAGTGAGCTGATTCTTGTTTGGATGGATAATTTGTCCAAGTGTTTGTCTGGGATAACGGTGAGTGAGCGTGGACAGGTCTCACTGAGTGACTGGGTTGAAGTAAACTGAGCCACTTTGTTCCCTGTTTGATCATTGCTAAAAAAAAAAAAACAAAAGAAGAGGATACTACGTCCTAATAATCCCACGATGGTCAACGGCTGCTGTGGCGAGTGATTAAATTAAAATACAGAAATAAATTCAGTCGTAAAACTGTGCTTCCTGTGTTGTGCAGGTGACGGTCCACAGTGCAGAGACTATGTGATCAGCCTGGGAGTGGTCAAACCCCTGCTGTCCTTCATCAGTCCCTCCATCCCCATCACCTTCCTCCGTAATGTCACCTGGGTCATGGTCAACCTGTGCCGTCACAAGGATCCCCCACCACCGATGGAGACCATCCAGGAGGTCAGTGTGTGTGTGTGTGTGTACATGTTTTTGCTACCTGGTGTGGACAATTTTTGACTATTTTTCTGGTACACAAAGCCTGGTGAGGACCCACTGTTCCTTGTGGAGACAAAAGCCCCGTCCCCATTGGGGGAAATACCATCGATGGGTCAGGGGTTTGGTTTAAGACTAAGGTGGGAATTGAGTTTAGGCTCAGGTGTGTGCCTGTGAGGTTAGGCTTTGGGTAGGGGGTCATGGTTAGGCTGTAGAAATGACAAAGTCCTCATGAGAATAGAAAAACAAACGTGTGTGATAATGGCTCATTAGATTTGAAAAACTTGCTTTTGATATTTTAGGTATTTGCTTCAATTTCTGCAAATTATAAGMTGAAAACTGGTGTAAATGAAATGGTGTTTGTTGCTTTGCATGTTAGCTTGTTGGCTAGCTGCAACTTATGAAACTAATCTGCACAACTGTAATAGTCTGTTTCTGCAATTTGTCTTTAGTTATCTTTCCGTTGTCTTTTGTATAATGTATATAAACTAAAAACAGTTTGGTTTGTAATTGCATTAATGTATACGCTTTTTATTTATAAGAATTTAGGAATGAATGTTGATAAGAGAGGGAGACTTTTCTCTTTTCTTTTTTGCAACAGGAGAACAAAGAAGTCGTTATTTAACGATTGTGCTTGTTGGATCTGTAATTTTAGTTTTTTGTAGGAAATCCAAAGAAAGTTTCTAAAAGGGAAAAAAAAACTACTGGACTGCAATTATTTAGAGAGAACTCTAAATTGCAAAAAAAATTAATTAATACTGAACTTGTTTTTTTTTTTGATATTGTCTAGATCCTGCCAGCTCTCTGTGTGCTGATCCACCACACTGACGTCAGTGTGAGTACATGTTATTTTACCAGCCTCTGTTACTTCTAGATGCTCCCAGATGAATGGTTTAATGAAGTGAAATAAATAAAAAACAAGGTGTATTCATGAAAATATTTTGTCACCTCCTCCAGATCTTGGTGGACACAGTGTGGGCTCTGTCCTACCTGACYGACGCTGGAAATGAGCAGATCCAGATGGTCATCGACTCCGGCATCGTCCCTCATCTGGTACCTCTGCTCAGCCACCAGGAAGTCAAAGTTCAGGTTTGTGGAGAAGACTAATGTTTAAGATGATTTAAATGAAATGGGTTTTAACTGGTTACATTAAAATAAGAAAACKCTTTTATTTCCCACTTTGACTACTTTTCCCTCGGACCTTCTGCAGAGTTCTGGTTTTGTATCCTAACACTCTTCTTCTTCACGTTCAGACTGCTGCACTGAGAGCTGTTGGAAACATTGTGACCGGCACAGACGAACAGACGCAGGTGGTGCTCAACTGTGACGCCCTCAGCCACTTCCCAGCACTCCTCACTCACCCGAAGGAGAAGATCAACAAGGTAACGCCCTTCGTCTTTACTCCCTGCACCGCTGGTCTCTGGTCGTCTGGAAGTGATGAAACCAGAGACTTTGTGCTCGTATGAAAGCTGAGTGAAAGAAAACAGGGGTGAGGTAGATGATTCTAGGAGTTCACAACATGGAGAATCGTGAGGATGAAGATGGTGAAGAAGACTGTGAAGACTAGTCATTTAGTGATGTGTGTGTGTGTGTGTGTGTGCGTGTGTGTGGATGTGTGATATCATGGGTTGGTGGAGAAAAGGGTGCTGAAACATCCCTGGTGATATCGGAGTGCATCTGAGAACAGTCACGTAAAGAACCGAGGCCTTCTCTGTGACTGGACGATGATTAGAGCCTCGAGTCACCCCCTCCCCACCCACAGCACTCAGTCTCGACCAGAGGTCAGCGCTCTGAGTCGACCTCTGGATTCTGATCCAGCCCCACCAAAAAGACCAACTTTCAATTTTTCTGTTCCAGCTGGTGTATAAAATCACCTGCAGACACCACCTGGTCTCATTTTCATTTGATTGTGTGTGTTTGTGCTCGTTGTCCTGCAGGAGGCAGTGTGGTTCCTGTCCAACATCACAGCAGGAAARCAGCAACAAGTGCAGGCTGTCATTGATGCCAAACTGGTCCCCATGATCATCCACCTGCTCGACAAGGTCAGCATCTGTCGTGTGCCACAGTTCTGTAGTAAACATCTGGAACAATGAGCGTCTCACATGYAATGTTTGAATTTCAGGGGGACTTTGGCACTCAGAAAGAAGCTGCCTGGGCCATCAGTAACCTGACAATAAGTGGCAGGAAGGATCAGGTAAACACCTTTTTAAGGTTTACTTCATTTTCACCGTCTGTACCCATCATAGGTTTTAGTGTTAAACCCACAATCTGTCTGTGTCGTCAGGTGGCACACCTGATTGAGAAGCAGGTGATCCCGCCTTTCTGCAACCTGCTCACAGTGAAGGATGCTCAGGTTGTGCAGGTCGTCCTCGACGGCCTCAGTAATATCCTCAAAATGGCCGACGACGAAGCAGAAACCATTGCTAACCTCATCGAGGAGTGTGGAGGTYAGTTCCTGGTTTGTGTTGTTTTCTCACATCAAGAGTCGGTGAGGCATCAACGTTTTCTGACCTTTTTTGATTTGCAGGTTTGGAAAAAATTGAGCAGCTGCAGAATCATGAAAACGAAGATATCTACAAYCTGGCATACGAAATCATAGATCAGTACTTCTCATCTGATGATGTAAGTGACCCATGAATGTGTTGATTTTATTTTGAGCTGCTCTTCAGTTATCTTTTTGCATGTTTTTACAGTAAAGTTTGAAGTTGTGCTGTGTTTTAATCATTTTAGCCGTGCAAATGTCTTGAGTCYTGGCTCATTTCGTTGCATTTAGCTTTCAGGGAAACAGATGTACTATAACTGTAAATATTAACTCACAAGTAGTCTTGATGAATTCAAATCAATTTCTGTAAAGTTCGGTCCGTTAAAATCTAATGTAGGAAGCTGATATTTAAAACGTAACGTCAAGTTTAATGTTTTTGACTTTTTAATTTAGTAACAAGTAATTTAGTGTGAATGCTTCATGGAATTCACGCTATTGAAGTTTTTCTTCTGTATGTTTTTCCACATGTAACTCTTTCCTCAATTTTTGTGCTATTTCAACAATTCATATTTCAAAACATTCAGCTCATTCTTGTGAGGGGTGCTATGACTTTTGGTATTTCAGCTATTTATACTTTTTTTAGCCACTATTTTGCCATTGAAAATGAATGGAGCTGTTTTCAACATCCTTAAAATGATTTAAAATGTTTTAAATCTTTATAGCACCTTACCTATTTTTTGTTCTGGTTATGCTCTATTTCACTTTCTTGTGCTAATTTTAGCTACTTTATTTGCTAATTTTAGCTTTTTTCTGCTATTTCGGCTAAAATTCTGCTTCTTTCCACCATTCTTCTGCTTTTTTCTACTTTTTGTGCTTTTTTCTGCTACTTTGTGCTATTTATGCTTCTTACAGATGCTTTCTGCTATATTCAACTATTTGCTGAAATTTTAGCTGTTTAGCTGCTATTAGCTAAGGTTAGCTTTTCTAAGCTAAATGCACTTTTTTTGTAGCCATTACAACTTTTTTCAGCTACTTTCAGCAAATTTGTGCTCCTTGTGCTAATTAAATAATTTCCAGCAGCTTTTTTGCTGAAAAATTCAGCTGTTTTAGGTTTTTTTTTATACTACAAATTATC